CCTTCCTTCCTTCCTTCCTTCCTTCCTTCCTTCCTTCCTTCCTTTCTTCTTTCCAGACAGGATCTCACTCTAAAGTGCAGGCTGGAATGCTGTGTACCTCCTGGGCTTGAGTGATCCTCCCACCTCAGCCTCCTGAGTAGCTGGGATGACAGGCACGCACCACAGTGCCCGGTGAATTTGTTTTATTTTTGGTAGAGATGGGGTCTCACTTTGTTGCCCAGGCTAGTCTCAAACTCCTGTCCTCAAGTGATGCACCTTGGTCTCCTGGAATTATAGGCATGAGCCACCATGCCCAGCTAGAGATCTTTATTTTTTTATCAAGACAGGGTATCACTCTTGATACCCTGTGCAGTCTCAGCCTTAGCCTCCTGGGCTCAAGTGATCCTCCTGCTGCAGCCTGTTTTGTAGCTGGAACCACAGGCCTGTGCCACCACATTCGGCTAATTTTTTGATTTTTTGTAGAGATGAGATCTCATTACATTGCCTAGGCTGGTCTTGGCCTTCTGGCCCCCAGCGATCCTCCTGCCTCTGCCTCCCACAGTGCTGGGATTATAGGCATGAGCCAGCATGCCCAGTCTACTCCTCAGTTTTCTAATCTGTAAACTGAGGATAGTAGTAGCACCTGCCTCTTTCATATGGTTGTTGTAGTAATTACATGAGTTCATGTGTGTAAATAGATTAAAACAGTGCCTAATAATAAATGCTATATAAACATTAACTGTTTTATTGCTTATCTTTCCAGGTCAACATAATCCTTATTCGTTCATTACATGTTTGTACTGCAGTTTGTTTAATCAGGCTCTTTTTGATAGATATTAAGGTGATTTCCATGTTTTTTTTTTTTTTGAGATGGAGTTTAGCTCTTGTCACCCAGGCTGAAGTGCAGTGGCGTGATCTCAGCTCACTGCAACCTCTGCCTCCTGGGTTCAAGCGACTCTTTTGCCTCAGCCTCTTGAGTAGCTGGGATTACAAGCACCTGCCACCACGCCCAGCTAAGTTTTGTATTTTTAGTAGTGACAGGGTTTCACCATGTTGGCCAGGCTGGTCTTGAACTCGTGACCTCAGATGATCCACCCGCCTCAGCCTCCCAAAGTGCTGGGATTACAGATGTGAGCCACCGTGCCTGGCCTCCATGTTTTTTTTTAAACAAATGACACTTCAACACTTCAATGAACATTCTTATACATTTTGTGACTTGTTCAAGTACATCTATAATAACTGTAGACTCTAAGTCACTCCTGAAAGTTAGATGATAAAGGATCGGGAAGGTGGAACAGGCAAACAAAGGGGTGGCTGGTGTAATATGGTCACTTCCCCTGCTTGGACCAAAGCAGGTCTTTTACTTTCTTCATGCATATGAGGCTGAACTCATATTGACTGCAGATGAGAAACATGTAGCTGAAATGATATTTTTAAATTTCAGAATTAGGTGAAAGAGAACAATTTTTAAAGGTTCATAGTGGTTATTTTGACTTTGTAGTTTGGAATTTCATCCCCATTCCCAGATGGCACACTCAAAACCTTAGTCTGTGCCAAGCACCCTGCTCAATGTATGCTTATGCCCTTCTTTCCTTCTTTAATATGACCACATTTTTATGAGCTACAAAAGACTCTGGAGCTTACAGTTCTTATCTACATCCTCTTACATGGAAAGACTGGATTGACTTCATGGAGGCCGAATCAAAGTTCCTGGTGTAATTTCTGGTCATTGTTCAGTATTATCTCTATATTAGTTAATATAAATCTCTCTCTCCTGTCTGGAATTACAACTCTGGAAAATTCTGAACAGCCCCCCCACCCCATAAACCAAAATGTCTAGTGGCAGATGGAACCGAGAATTAATGTCTTCTACATCTCACATGGTAGGTGCTTAATCAACATTTATTGAATGCATTAATGAATTTTTGCCCCAGACAGGAACCTTGGGATCTTGCACTGCTTGCAAAGAACTGGTACACAAACCTAGCCAATATCAAGTTGCCTTTCTTGGAAGAAATTTCATTTGGTGGTTCTGTGCAGCTCACAAAATGTAACACCGTTAAAGATGGACTGCTCCCTTCTGCAGAATGTAAGTTCCTTAAGTTCTGCTTTAATAAGTTATAAATTGTGTGTGTCATTTGCTTATCAGAGAAATGTTTAAATCTGTGTATTTACACCCATACCTCCTATCTTTGTAGCTCTGTCATCTTGTTTATTATTCAAGCATATGGATTTTGCTCTATGATATTCAGTTTTGACTTAGTTATGCCTGATGAAAAATGTATGTCAGATTGTTTTGTGTATTTTCTTTTTCAGCCATCAAACTCGAAAGGGAGTATGAAGTGAAGCGTCTTTGTAAACTGAAATGTCAAGAAAATACATCTGAGGAAATTAAGCTTCTCCTGAGGGAAAGGCCAGCCGGTTTGAGAAGACCTCTTCCATCTAAATGACAGTCAGCTCATGACTGAATCTGTACTCTGTCTCTTGCATCCAAAGGGGATGAAGGTCTCTGGACGTTTCACTGTGTAAAGTTCGGGGCAGATATTTGAATGCCCACTGGTGGATGGGCCACTGCCCACAGCTGTGGGTTAATGGCCAGCTCTGACAGATCTTCTGAGTCCCTGACATACTCTTGTTCCTTGTATCACAAGCTACAGCACTGTAAGTAGATGAAAATGCATTTGGAGTTGAGTCGTTTGTGCTATTCATTTTAATTTTTGTAAAATTGAACTAAAAGAAGAGGAAATTTCTTCAGCTGCATTGTTTTCAAAAGACATCTTGAATATGCATCTTTGAGATCCCAAGGAGGGACCAAAAAGAAGGCAAGAGAGAAATTCTCTTAAAAATGATAAACTGAAACATTTCATTTGGTTAAGAAAAATAATAGACTTCATTTTTAGTACTTCTCTAGTTTCCAATTTCAATGAAACATCATTGAATATTCACATGTGGTACTTTAAAGTAGCAAGTAGGACTTACTTTGTTTTTGTTCTCCTAGAAAAATTGTCAGGCTGGAGGTGATGGCTCATGCTTATAATCTCAGTACTTTGGGAGGCTGAGGTGGGAGACTCGCTTGGGCCCAGGAGTTTGGGACCAGCCTGGTCTCTACAAAAAATTAAAAAATTAGCTGAGCGTGGTGCTGTGCCTATAGTCCCAGCTACTTGGGAGGCTGAGATGGGAGGATCCCTTGAGCCCAGGAGTTTGAGGCTGCATTGAGCTGTGATCATGCCACTGCACTCCAGCTTGGAGGGCAGAATGAGAACGTGTCTCAAAAAACAAAAACAAAAAAAGTCCATCTTTTTCCTTCTGCCTAATTTCTTATTTTCTATCTGGAATGACCCTGAAGCATATGGAACACACATAGTTATGTGAAAGTGACATGAAAATACACAGAAGGTCTTATGAGAAAAACACAGACTGGGGGATGGGGAATTGATTAACTGGAAAGTATTGGATTTGAATGAACCAATTCTTCTAGCATTTGAACCAATAAAGCATACTTGGATATTACTGTTACTTTTGAGCACAGTGTAGTGTTTTTTAGATGATTTAGTAGGCATTTTAGGATCTTCTGGTATTTTCTTTTTCCCACCCAGGCTGGAGTGGAAGTTTCACTGTAACCTCTGCCTCCCGGATTCAAACAATTCTCGTGCCTCAGTATCCCGAGTGGCTGGGACTACAGGCATGCACCACCACACCTAGCTAATTTTTGTATTTTTTAGTAGAGACAGGATTTCACCATATTGGCCAGGGTGGTCTTGAACTTCTGACCTCAAGTGATCTGTCCACCTTGGCCTCCCAAAGTGCTGGGATTACAGGTGTGAGCCACCGTGCCTGGCTGATCTTCTAGTATCTTAGCTTCATTTCATTATGAAAGGCACTGTGGCATACTGTGCAAGAGTATAGACTTTAGACCTGGGTGCCTTTCTTCAAATCCTAGCTCAGCTGCTTATTGCTATGTGAGCTGGGATAAGTTACCTTGTTTCTGCTTGTTTTCTCACTTGTAAAATCGGGGTAATACAGGTATACCTACTTCGCAGGATTAAATGAAAACTGCCAGGCACACAATGAGAATTACTCTGGTGTTAGCCATTACTGTGAGTATCACTATCATTATAATCTAGGTATAATCTATATTGGGCTGACTCTCTTGACCTTTGTACAGACCAGAAGTCTTGAAATTTAAAAAATTTGATTTTATTCTTACAATATATATGTACTACTTGCCAGACCATCTGACCTGAATTTTTAGTTCAAATTAAGGCCGCTGTACCTATGGCAAATTCTGATCATTTCTCTTTAAAAGTCATCATCCCTGATAATCAACTTGTCATTTATGTCTTTCTCTTAAAAGTAGCATGGAGAATTTGTGTGCAAAAATGTCACATCCTGATGTCCCCACTGTGTAACCCAGGAGCATAGATACCATTTTGTGTTCTGCCCTCTGGAGCCACCAGGGAGCCCTAAGCATGTCATACCTCACTTCACAACCTGGCACTTTCAGTTAGTGGCATTAATTGGGAGTATAAGTAATACGCTTCCATCTGTTGTCCAAAAGACCTTCAGGATGGCTAAATAGTAGAAAGGAGAGTTTTACTGGTGATGTCAGTTAGCGAACTGGGAAGAGAGTCTCTGGAGTGGACTGAAGGTGCTCTTTCTTCGAAGAGGGAAAGCGCAGGCTGGGTTTTAGGCCTCCCAGGGCCTGTATCACGCAATAAAGTAATACATATTTGGCAGGTTTTGGGGGAAAAGCTGTACATATGTATGAAGGTAGTCAAGCACATGTGCAATGGGCAAACATATATGTAACGTACTTCCCATGTTCACTTTGGGATGGGGTTTTAGCATTAAAATAAGGTGGAGTTTGGCTCTACATCAAAAGTGAACTACAGGGCACAAAGACAGTTCATGAGCAGCCTGTATAAGCTGGCAGAAACTGGCTTAAGGTCTGCAGTTGCTTTTCATAAAAGAAGGTTTGTAAGGCTGGTCCTCTGTTGAATCAGAGTCGCAGTGGTCTGGGATGTAAATCAGGGTCAGGAGGGCTGTGATAGCTCCCGTTGGTATGGAGTTTAGCAAGAGTGTAGTTTTTCTTCTAGGGGTAAGAATTTAGGAAGTTGTCATGGCAGCTGAGCCCTGAGCCCCTTGATGCTATAGTAAGTTTTATTTCCTTAACCTTATGGACTATCTTAGTTGATAAAGAGGCATCTGTTTTGATCTCTCAGATCACATATTCTTTTTCATAATGCTGAAAATGAATGAAACATGTATCTGTTTGTAAAAGGTTTGCCAGAACAAAATATTTTAACGTTCCTTGAGAAAAGATGGAATTTGAGAAAGCTTTAGTTCTTCATGATTTTCTTGAGAGAGGAGTCCTGCTTCTAGCTTTAAGATTCTGTTAATCATGATTTTAGGCAGATGTTTCTGAGCCTCTGAAAACTGCACATATTGAAATAAAATTACATTGCAAAATTGAGTAATATGTGTGTATGTCTCTCTCTCTTGAAATGCCCTAACAGCAGGAAAGGAACGCTTTCTTATGTTAGTGTTCCAATGCCTAACTTATATAGTTACTCAATAGACATTCATTGATGGAACATTTTCAGGGCTGGGCATGGTGGTTCACACCTATAATCCCAGTACTTTGGGAGGCTGAGATGGGTGGATCACCTGAGGTCAGGAGTTCAAGACCAACCTGGCCAACGTGGTGAAACCCCATCTCTACTAAAACTACAAAAAATTGGCCAGGCATGGTGGCATGTACCTGTAATCCCAGCTAGTCAGGAGGCTGAGGCAGGAGGAGAATCACTTGAACCCAGGAGGTGGAGGTTGCAGTGAGCTGAGATCACACCATTGTACTCCAACCTGGGAAACAAGAGTGAAACTCCTCAAAAAAAAAAAAAAAAAAAAAAATCAGATGGTGAAAGATCCATAATAGAATGCACTTGATAGTTGCTTTCTTATTTTTTATTTTTTTAATTAAAAAAATTTTTTAGAGACAGGGTCTGGCTCTGTTGCCCAGGCTGGGGTGCACTAGTATGATCATTGCTCACTTCAACTTTGAACTCCTAAACTCAAGCAATCCCAGCTACTTGGGACTATAGCTGCTTATGATCCCACCATGCATGGCTAATTTTTTTTGGTATTCTTTGTATGATAGGATACTTTTTTAAAATCAGGAGATAGCCATGATATGACCGAATATGGGACTAAAACAGTTCAAGCCAAAGGTCAGAATGAACAAATATACCATTTTTACATAAAACATTTTAAAGTTATAACAATTTAATTAAAACTGATAACAATTCAACTTCAGTGGCATACAAAAATTCTAGTTCTTTACCTCTCCACTTTCCCTCACTTTGGCATTGCTGTTAGAAATTATATCTTTCTATATTGTGTATTCATTAACATAATTTATAGTTTTTTTTATGCTTTTGTTTTTTAGATTCTATGCCAAACTTAGAAGTGATCTACACAACAACATTACACTACTTACAATATTATAGAATTATATATATATACACAATTTTTTTTAATTTTTTGAGACGGAATCTCACTCTGTTGCCCAGGGGAGTCAAGTGGTGTGATCTCGGCTCACTGCAACCTCCACCTCCTGGGTTCATGCACTTTTCCTGCCTTAGCTTCCTGAGTAGCTGGGATTACAGGCATGCGCCACCATGCCCAGCTAATTTTAGTAGAGACAGGATTTTGCCACGTTGACCAGGCTTGTCTCGAACTCTTGACCTCAGGTGATCTGCCTGCCTTGGCCTCCCAAAGTGCTAGGACTACAGGTGTGAGCCACTGCACCTGGCCTAATTCTATATTTTATCTACATATTTACCTTTACCAGAGAGTTTTATATTTTTCTATGGTTTTGTGTTGCTGTCTAATGTCTTTTTGTTTCAACTTGAAGGAGTCTCTTTAGTATTTCTTGTAGGGGGAAGGCCTAGTGGTAATGAACCTCCTCAGCTTTTGTTTATCTGGGAAAGTTTTAATTTTTTTAAATTTTTGAAGGACAGTTTTGCCAGACATACTGTTGTTGGTTGGCAGCTTTTTCCATTTTAGCACTTTGAATATATTACTTCGCTCCCTTCTGGCCTGGAGGGTTTCTTTTACTTGAGAAAGAGTCTCGCTCCGTCACCCAGGCTGGAGTGCAGTGGCGCAATCTCGGCTTACTGCAACCTCTGCCTCCTGGACTCAAGCAGTTCTCCTGCCTCATGCTCCCGAATAGCACCACCATGCCTGGCTAATTTTTGTATTTTTAGTAGAGACGGGGTTTTACCATGTTGGCCAGGCTGGTCTCAAACTCCTCACCTCAAGTGATCCGCTCACCTTGGCCTCCCAAGGTGCTAGGAGTATTGGTGTGAGACACCACACCTGGCCCTGGCCTGCAGGGCTTCTGCTCAAAAATCTGCTGGTAGGCTGGGCTCAGTGGTTCATGCCTGTATTCCC